AAACTGGGCGGGTCATTGACTTCCCTTTTTATGGGCTGGACAGGGGGATGGGGAAAAAATCCTCGGGTTTACAAAAATCAAGTATAAAGTGGTTCCTGGGCTGGATATATACAACTTAGAGGAGGATTATCCTTTCCATAGGATTTACTAGCACATCTTATACAGCGGATGGGGGTAAGGGGTTAAACTCATGTAGAGTACATATAACCAAACTTTGGCTAAATCAATTTAACAAGTAAACATCAAACTCTAGTTCTTATCATTTTCTGGAGCTTCTAATTTAAGTTGCTTGGATTAGAATGTTGCGGGATGACGATGACAAAAACATAAACTTATGTAAGCACAGTTCGTCGAGCTGCGAGCACAGTTCATCGACCTGCAAATAGTTATCTTTTTTCGTCCGCATGATAGTTGCCCACTAACACCACTACTGTATTACTAAGATTAAAAAAATGATTTTGCTCTTTGTAAAAACAGGCGATCACACGTAAGACAATATCTCAGTTGTCGCATTTTAATCAGTATTTTAATCGACGGATACTCATTCCGGGCTCTTTGATCTGTCAGAGACAATGAATGTTTCAGGAAGGATAATTGGTGGTTACACTTTTGTTATATACATTATCAGTTTACTGCCAAACTGTTTCACCATTACGAAGTATTATAAGTACCAAATGATATCAGATACCATGTTAAACGCACTACAAAGAGTAGTGCCTTCGTACGTTTAATCTCTGATAATAAAACGTTATTGGGTCAAAAATACTACTTTTCACCGAAGAAATACGCCACCAATGGAGCTGTAGTTCTCTGTCCGCTCAAAAATCTCCTTCGTCCCTGCACCAATCACATATACCTCGACCGCACGCACACACACCGGCTGAACAAGTGCAAGTTCCCGCCTGAATAGTAGCTACCATCTATCCTGTCACCAACTACAGAAATTGCACTGCTCCTGTCGAAGCCATGCATCACGACAGTGTAGCTAATACCTGTCTCGGATTTTGTGACGTCACCGATTCAGTACATATATAGATGGTGACGAGTATCAGCGCCGAACAGAAATCGTCACTGCCTTGGGAAATGATGAGCTGACGGAGGCTACATGGTACCTTGAGGCTCAAGGCTTGAGCCAAAGCATTCCGAGAGCCAAAGACGCTGGGTCAGTGACTCTGCGTTCAGGTATTAATACACGTAGAGCAAATTCGTGACAACATAACGCGAGGCGGTGCTGTCTTCACCATCATTACTTTCCACGTGCCATGTCGATTAATTTTGAGCATGATAGCAAGTTTTCATTCCTGAAATTGCCTTCCTATGCACAGCTACCGAGAACATGACGACGCCGACAGAGCCCCTCATTCGGCTCTCTTTTGTCAGCGGCACACCATCGCAAGCCCATGAGCCAGAAAAGGCTCTTGGCTACGTACAGACCAAGTCCCCGGATCCGTCCTCTCTTGAGGGTGGTGCTCTGCGTGAGGGTGGAGCCCCGATCCTTACCAGTCGCGACAGTATTGGTCTCCTCTTCCAATACGCTGCAGTGGGTATCAACTACGGCCTGCTGCCCACTACCATCTACCCTTTTCTACAGCAATACCTGAACGCAACGGGGTCCAAGTCACCACCGCCTCAACACTTGTCATTCTACCGTGGAGTTTCAAGGTGTTTTATGGCATTCTTTCGGACTGCGTGCCTCTATTCGGATACCGTCGCAAAGTCTGGATGCTCATCGGTTGGACTATGTGTCTCATTATGCTGATCGTCATGGCTGCGTCTCCTGCTGGTGAGCCGTACTACACGGTACCGTCCGACCGCGACATCGACCCTGCTGATTACACGCCGGAGATTGAGGCTCGCATCAACTTTGACGCGGGCAACCAGGCTGGCAAATACGTCATGCTCATGTTCTTCGCCGCTATTGGCTACGTCCTAGCTGACGTCTGCGCCGACAGTATCGTGGTGGAATACGCTCAACGGGAGCCTGTTGAAAAGCGCGGCACGATTCAGTCTGCCATTTACGCGGTTCGCACTGTATTCGTCATCATTGGCCAGCTTTTGGTTGGTTTCTGCTTCAATAGTGAGGCGTACGGGGGTCAGTTCGACTTCTCGCTGAACTTCCCACAATTAATGGCCATCGTCGCTGTCATCACTGCGCCGATCCTCCCTATCTCATGGCTCGCTCAGTGAGTAAAGAGGACAAGCAGACGAGAGTGCCATTCCGAAAGTACATGACCGAGTTGTGGGACCTGATTCAAAAGCGTGCAGTCTACCAAGTCGTTTTCTACCAGTTCTTCCAGAACGTCTTCTCTAACATCTCGTACACTGCCAGCTCTCCAGTGCAATCGTACATGGTCGGCGTCACTCCGACCAACAACACTATCAGTGAGATTATTAGCAACGTGCTCTTCATGGGAGGCATCATGGCTACGTCCAAGTGGGGTCTGCACTGGAACTGGCGCACAATGATCCTCTTTACGGGTATCTTCGTCATCCTCGCGGATGGTATTACGACTTTCCTTACAATTTGGAATGTGTTCCGTAGCCAGTGGTTCTGGCTCGGTATCCCGATGGCCGTGCAGCTCCCGTACGGTGTGGGCTGGATGATCGGGAATTTTGTCATTGTCGAGCTGTCTGGTATCGGCAATGAAGGGGCCATCTACGGTCTTATTACTATGGTCGGCAACTTGTCGTCTCCGTTTGCACAAGCGTTGACGCTAGTGATTAATCAGCCCCTTAACTTGACTACAGCTCGTATCCAGGCCGACGACACGTCCATCCGAACAGACCTCACCTACGCGGTGTTGATCATGTACGGCATGACCATCTTTTCATGGGTCTTCCTGGTTTTCCTTCCTCGACAGAAAGAGGAGACGCAGGAGTTGCTCCGCACGGGTGGGAGTAGCAAGGTTCTGGGTGCTCTCGCGGTCTTCTACGTCATGTTCGCGTTCGTTTGGTCCCTCATGACCAATATCATGGCCATGTATGAATCCACATCGTGTTTGATAATAGCTGGTGGCAAGGGATGCTAGATTCCTTATGTGACCGTCACAAAATCCACTACCGGAATCAAGAAAACAGTCTCATCATGAACGTACAACTCCCGTATAAGTTTCGGTTGGGACAAAAGCTCACTTCATTGTTATTTCGCTCCTTTTTTTCCTCCCAAAAGCGAAGTGCGTCTTTCGTAGGGCGTGATTTTTTCGGTGCAGCTCCTCTGAGTTCTTGTCTCGCCAAAGGGCCGAAAACGCTAGATACGACTTGAAGTTCTCGTTCTTGTGTGCATCCTGCCCCAACCCAGACAGCCCCAGTTTATTCTATACGGATTTCGGGGTTTCTCCATTCCTGAGCCAAAGTTTGTGCTTGATCCAGGACCCCAACCCCCTTTCTTCATCCTCAGCGACGTAGCCTTTTTGCTCGTTGTTGTAGTGAGTCCTCAGTGAATGCTCCGCAGCTCTATCGCTATTGCCAACAGAAGAATCTAACTGAGTCGATTCAATCTGTTCGGTGTTAACGGCTGCCGACACTAACAGAACACAGATCTAACGCACTCACACACAACTTGTTGGGTTAAAGGAAACTTTCGGACTGGCAGCAGTGCGGCGATTCCGCACTGGGCTGCCTTTCTGACCATCACTCTGCTAGCTAGTTCCAAAAGACGATGTAAAGAACTCATTCTGCTTCAACCTGAATGCGGTTTCCAACACGCCCTCCTCCGAAGTGAATCGGTCACAAAGGAGATGCTGCTTAGACAATCCGATCATGGCGCACAATGCCTCGAGTCGCTCGCCAGCCAGTGCCTTTGTCATTATGTCGGAAGGGTTCACCTCAGTTTTGACCTTCCACAAATCCACGGTTCGTTTAGCTACTTGGTCTCTGATGTAGTGCCAGCGTAGCTCGATGTGTCGCGTTCTGCGACTGTAGGTCGGGTTCGTCGCCATAACGTAGGCGGCCTGATTGTCAATTCCCATGCGAAAATTGGTCTTCAAGTCTGGGAAAACTTGGATCAGCACGTTGCGTAATCCTTGGCCTTCCATACAAGCCTCGCACGCAGCTACGTACTCCGCCTCTGCGGTAGATTGAGCAACAATGCTCTGGCGCCTCGACGCCCAGGATATTGCTCCACCGGCCATACAGAGGACAAAACCTGTTATGCTTTTGCGTGTATCGGGGTCGTTCCCCCAATCCGAGTCACAGTAGCCGTCGATAATTAGTTCCTTGTCTTGCTCTGCTGCTTTGGCACGGGTGTACACTCTCCCTTGGGTTTTGGTTCCGATTAGGTACCGCAGCACTCTCTTGGCAGCGCCAATGTGCTGCTGCGTAGGATTTTGAACGTAGCGACTGAGTTGTCCAACAGCGAACGCTAGGTCTGGGCGAGTGCAGGTCGTCAGGTACATTAGCGACCCTACCAGTTCACGATACGGAAAGTTCTTGCCGTTCGCAGCCACTTGCTTGCGCTGGTTTGTGTCAGTGTCCTTCACGGTAAGACGCAAAGTCGTCTCCATCGGGATCCTACTGGAATGCGCACCACTGAAGTGAAAGCGCTCAAAAATCTCGTCACAATACTTGGTCTGGTGTATTTTGATGGAGTCTTCACTCTGTTCCACCTGCACGCCCAAATATGTGCTGAATAGACCTTGGTCCTTCAAACCATAGTCCTTGTCCAGCTTCTCAAACATCTTCTTCTTAAATCCTTCACTCTGGTCGCGCACAAGATGTCGTCGACGTAGAGGAGAACCATGGCAAACTCGCCATCTTTGTTGTAAAAGTAGAGGCATGGCTCAGTCTTGCACTGCTTGAACCCATAGTTCACGAACCAACTATTCACCGCTGAATTCCACTCTCTTCCGGACTGGCGTAGTCCGTACAGTGCCTTGTTGATGATGTAAATCATCCCGCCATCCTCGCAAGGGTAGCCCTGGACTTTCTCTAAATACTGCTTTATTCCAAGCGCAGCATTGAGGTACGCTGTGTTTACGTCGCCCTGGTAGATCACTAGATTTAGAATGATGCATACCGCAACAAACATTCTGAATGTCGCCATGCGTGCAACCGGTGAGAATGTGTCCGTGAAGTCGATTCCGAAACGTTGCTTATCTCCTCGGGCCACGACACGTGCTTTGAAGGTCACAATGTATCCTAAATGATCGGTTTTCACGTCAAAAACCCACATAGTCTTGATAGCATGCTGTCCTGCTGGCATCTCTGTTCTTGGAATCTGCAACAGCACGTCCTTGAACTTCAGTGAAGCCATCTCCTTGTCCATAGCCTCCTTCCAGAAACTTGCTTGCTTTGATCTCATTGCCTCTCTGTAGTTTCTTGGTATCTTGATGTCACTTGCGCGCAGTCCACCTTTGCCACGGCGATCTACATGCAGTGCCTTGAAAGCTGAGTACACCGCAAAGTCTTCGTATCGTTCGGGTTTGCGAGTATTTATAACTTTGCGCAGTCCTGGTCGTCGTGCTGCTGTTGCACGCTTCGCTCCGACCTTGGTACGCTTCCGGTCTTGCGCACGGCGAACTTCTTCATCTCTCGGATGCACCTTGCCCACTAGTAACTGCTGAGGAAACGCGAGAACACCACCTCCGGGTCCTGGTGGATCATCCATTTCATCACTCATGCCTTCATGGGCGGCTTCTATTTCGTCACTCGGGTCGAACAAGCAGTCGTAGCCGTTGCATTCGCTCTCCTCGCTATCATTTACCGGTGCTAAATCCGACACATGACTAACGTCCAGTCCATCATCTGTATCAAACTCATGCCCATCATGTTCATCAAATTCAGTCACCGACTCTGCGTCATTGTCACTTAGAGAATCTCCTTCTTCCATCTGAGAAACATCAGCCGTGCGATTATCGTTGTCGACATCAACTTGAGAATCCTCATCAACTTGAGAATCATCTTCGTCATAACCTCCATCAGCACAATGCTCAACAATGGTTGTATTTTCGCCCTCCTGCGTATCTTCGAACGCATCATCGTAGTCTGGAAGCGAGTTTTTCTTTAGGATGTCCTCCCTTAATCGCTCGTCACGTTCACCCAGTGTACTTCTCGGCGTGTTGCTCGATGGCTGGTCGTACTTGGGTAGTACGCTGCTCTTCACAATATTGTCCCCACAAAGCCTCTTGAGCAACATCAAGGCCGTCGCTTGTAGCCACACTCTCCATGTCTACATTACTATCAGCTCGCACGGAGTCTGTGTCACACTCAGCTTGTTGAGACGCTTCATCACTATCACTTTCTGCATCATCGAAAGCACCATCCTGCACAAACTCATCGAAAGTCTGCAGCCACTTGTTCACCTTCGACTTGAAGGCACTCCCATAGCGGTCCTTGTACTTGATGTTTTCATTTACCTTCACATCTGCAACGAAGCCTTTCTGATGCTCAGTAGGGAAGTACACTTGGCAGCCAACAACATCTTCTTGATAGCCGATCAAAAAACCCACTTTGCAGTTCGCACTTAGTTTCTTGCGCATTGTGGCCGGTGTATGACAGTACACCAGAGATCCAAACGCGCGGATGTGATGAAGATCTGGCTTCGTACCGTACATTATCTCGTACGGGGTTCGCCCTGCTCCCCTTACAGAAGACTCGATTCTTTAGATAGACCGCAGTCTGAAGAGCATGCGTCCAAAACGATCTCGGAAGCCCCGAGTCGTGCATCATAGTCTTGACCATGTTTATCAGTGTCTGATGTGTCCTCTCCACCAAGTTCAGCTGTGAAGATTTTGGACCAACCTTCGTGTGGACAATTCCTTTCTCAGCATACCAGCTCTCCATTGAGTTGTTGCAGAATTCCTTGCCTTTGTCCGTGAGAACTTGCTTCACTGGCCCAATGTTGGCATCGTTCTCGTCACGAGCTGCAGCATCCCACCGTCGAGTGATCACTGTATCAACACGACGTCCGTGTTGCCGCTCGGCCCAGGCAATGTATTGCTTCATGTATCCATTCACCTCGCCTTCAGTCTTCGACTTCAGCAGGTATGTCGTAATGAAACGAGAGAAACCATCCATTTTGACTAACACTGCACTGTACTGTGTGCCGTTGTGAAGTCCAGGTATCAGTAAATCGGCAAACACTAAGTCGTTCACTTTCTCGATGTTCCGCTCCAACTTCTTCCGGAAGGTTTTGCGTCTCTGCTTGCCGAAATGGCAGTCAGCGCAATCCATCTTCCCACGCTTCTTCAGCATGATGCCCTTGGCCAATCCACGGTCGACCATAAGGCGAATGTACTCCGGGTATGTGTGCCCCAGACGCGCATGCCAGACGTCGATGTCCTCGACTCCATCCGTCACCGCAAAATTTGCCACTACCTGCTTCCTAACAGCAGTAGACTTCTTGTTGACTTGAACGCCACCGATGTTGTGCGCGTCAAATGTCCACAGTCGATGTTCATGCTTTGCTCGAATTACCTCCGTGTTGTCCTTCGACATACCAAATAGCAGTGTCGTCTGATCCCACGACATCTTGAAGCCTTGATCCAGTGCTTGTCCAGGTGAGAACAGGTTACAACCAGCTTTCGGCACGTATAACACGTCTTCGACAAAAGCAAATACCATCTCTTCGTCTATCATGGTCGCAAGCAAAATCGTCCCAAAGCCTTCTGCTTGGGCGTCGACACCGTCCGCGAAGCCCTAAATTGTCGGGTTCCAGTCGCTGTCTTCCATGTTATTCAGTACCGTAAAGTACTCCTTGCTCGCCACAATATGGACGTTGGTCCCACTGTCGAAGTACCAACGACTGGAATCGTAGTCCTTCGCCACTCGCTTCACTACTTCTCCCAACACCACTTCACGCTTGTGCATGCGTGTATCCTCAACGGTCGCATCCGCTGTAACTTGAGCCGCGGGCTTGACATCAGACCGTGCCATCTTTGCCTTTGCACTCTTCTTCTCCCTGGGTTTGTCCTCCAGGTCCGGACACTGATGCTTGTAGTGGCCCTTACCACCGCAGTTGAAGCACTCGACGTCTGCCTTTGCCGTTCTCTTCTTGTTTGCATCTCCAGTAGTCTTGTTCTGGCTGCTCTTCTGTCCGCTAGAAGCATTGCCTTGCTTCTTCTTGCCTTGGTTATTGCCGAATGCACTTTTCTCCCCGTCCTTACTGCGAGTCTCAGCGGTGCGAATCAATTCTCGTACAAGATCGGGTGTGTACTTGCTCATATTCGAGCTAAATAGCACTTTTCTACGAAGCTCGTTGTAGCAAACCTGCGCTGGCAGGCTTCGCAGCAACATGTCGACCATCTGAAGGTTGCTCAATGGTGATCCGAGCTCTGCGAGTTCGTTCCTAATGCGAAACATCGCATACAAATGCCCTCGCACGTCACCATTCGCGCGCAGGTGAGTCCTGTGTAGCTCGCCCTGCAGGCGATACACCTTCTGCGCCTTGGTGGCGTCGTTGTTCTTCCCTTCGTAGATCTTGCACAGTTCCGCCCACATATCGGTCCCAGTCTCCTGGTCCATCAGCTGTTGAGCGAGCCTCGTTGTCAGCGAGCCTAAGATCAGCATCTGGATCTTCGCTTGCTTTTTTGTGTGCTCATCCTTCTGGTCTTGACTCCACGAAGCGTCTTCTGTCACGTTGCCGACAGCAATCTGCTCCAGCAGCCTCTTCTGGAACGCCACCACCATGGTCTTCTTGTAGAAAGGCCAATTCTCTCCCCCCCAGTTCACTGGGTTTCCGGATGAGTTGATGTGGAACTTCTTGTCCTTCTTTCTGCTGTGTCGGTCGTCTTCGGAGTCGCTTGAGGATGACATCTTGTTGCTTGAGTGTCGTTTACTAACGTGTAGCGCTGTAGGTTGCTTGTATTTGGGCTCATAACCCTAACAGAACACAGATCTAACGCACTCACACACAACTTGTTGGGTTAAAGAAAACTTTCGGACTGGCAGCAGTGCGGCGATTCCGCACTGGGCTGCCTTTCTGACCATCACTCTGCTAGCTAGTTCCAAAAGACGATGTAAAGAACTCATTCTGCTTCAACCTGAATGCGGTTTCCAACAGACACGACATCGGTGGTGGCATAAAGACTGGTGGCAACAATCACGATGAGGTAGTGCACACGCATCGTTTTTTTAAGTACCGACGCAGTGGGGTTAGAGAGAGGAAATGGTAAAGACCGCCACGGACTGCAGATTTGCCGATTAATAAGCGACGCTGCTCACGCTGGTCCCATCTAATTCAGAGGTTTGGCATCGCAGTCGCCCGGCAAACAGAATAAACATGATGGCAGATGAAAAAGAGAGATAACTCTATCAATCGACGCTTTATTACTTTTTCTGACCATCAACATCATCGTACCAGTAAACATTATGGCAGCATTATCGTGTATGTGTAAGCAAAATATCTGCTCCCTCGGGACAGGATTCGTAGATTTTTTATCAAGTTAGGTTTTCTTTTTGCTCGTTCAACGAAGAACGCAGTTTGCAATTCATATCATTGGTAGATAATTGCGAGACGGCTTACATGAAAATACATTTATTAGATAATGAAATGCGTAAAAAAAAACTTTGATAATCGTGCGCCTCCGTAATTCCAAAAGACGCGACAGCTTCATGGCATTATAGTTGCCCCATCAGGTGGTGATACTTTGTAAGGGGGCTGCGCAATGCGAGCTCCTACTCTACAATTAGTGCTTGGTTTGTACGGGCGCTCCTTTCAATCTCAAAGTTGGGCTATTAAGAGTACGTGGAGTGAGGTGCAATTATTACAGATCATAAATATTGACTACGCCAGTGCGCAAGGCCTGTGCCTGTCCAATGTGCGATTAAAGATAACACATTGTCTACCCCCCCCCCCTAAACATACTTAGACATCCAGATATGATGTGATGGACCATCGATGGTACAGAAGCCAGAGCGCCCCTTGTCATTGCGACCTTGTCGCATGGTTGGTTTTCGTATGTTATCCTATTTTTCAGGCTGATGCAGGACTTTGCCATAATGATGTCGCTGCTGCTGCTGATGCAAATCTGTGCCAAATTGTTGACTATTTAACGTGATCTCCTGGTATCACATATTAATACATGTGCGCCGCACGATAGGTTCGATATCGTAACTGGCTATATTGCACAGCACGTCGTTGCGCCACCACTAATTCCCTAAGACCGATGTACATGTACCGATTTAGTCCACAATGGTACCCAAGGTCGGACGAGTAGCACTGACATCTCTTTGTAGTGCATCAAGTAAGTTGACGTTTTAATGGCAGACGCGTGGAGGGTAATGAAGCAAAGTGAATTATTCGGATGAACTTGTGACAGTGGAAAACATAAACTGTCCGGAGGCGCTGAATATGCCGTCAAATCATATGATTAGAGTTGAGGAATACTTAAGTACAAAATTTATGTATACCTAAATAGCTTTAAATATCAGGTGCTGGTATAGCGATGGTACTGAGCGATAAAGTTTATATAAGTAATAAGCTCTTAAATACCAGGTGCTGGTATACTACAGTACAAGTGAGAGGCCTAAATTCTAGCAGACCATGCAACTCAATCTAACTCGCGGGATACACTGTACGCTTTGTTTGCGCCTAGTGTTTTGCCAAATACTTGCCACCATAACGAGAACATACCGGGTCACTTTCCAATTTCTCCTTCAACGCACATCAGCGCTATTTGTGACCTCATATGCAGCTGCGCAGTATCCTGCTGGCTGTTGTAGCCTCCGTTCTTGCCACCCAGTGTGGTGCTCTTACTGCCGAAGCTGTTGGCCTTGCCACGCTCTCCAAGAGCAGTCCAACCGACCACAAGGCAACGAGTGTTACTGATCAGCGTGCCCAGCGGCGTTTAAGAAAAAGCGACACCGTTGGTACCGAGGATGAATTGAATCAAGACTCACAAGACGAGGCGAGAGCTTTGTCATTACCGCAGTGGCTAGCCAGCATTGTCGAGAGCCTTGACGATGTTGAGAAAGCACTCACCAAGTTGACCAAGGGACAATCGAATGTGGAGAAAGTAAAACGCTACGACATCCTTGTGGATAATATCGCGGCCTCGTTTGTTAAGCTGGAGGACATGGGGTATACGCCAGCTAAGCTACAAAATGCCATAAAGAACGGAGAAATGGTAGTTGAGAAACCTCATTGGTTTCTTGAGGCCTTTGAGACGTATTGGAAGACATCTCCGCGGCTGAATACAAATGCATAGATGTCTAAAAAGCTTGGGCAATGAGCGAACGGGTTGCGGTGATCACGATGAAGAAAAGAGAGATAGATATTACCCAACTTGGGTGTGTTGATATCTTCTTAGCCTGTAAATGATGTTACTTTTGGCGAAAAGCAACAATTTTAGCGGCGTTTTATTTTGCTCCTCCCCGGTTATTGAATACACGACGTTTGTGTCTGACTCAGATTTGTAGGATTACCACCGTTAATCCATATCAGCTTTGCAGCTCCTACCAAACAGGCTATTAAAGTATGCGATGAAGTAATTCGATCAGCCTAGTCATCGTTCCTCGGGCGAGCCCCCCCCCGCCACACACACACACACTTCATCTCGATCCCAAATTTTGTTGCCGAATTCAAAACGCTTTAGGTGAACGTGGAGATCACTCCTACAAAGGGGTCAATTTTCGCAGTCCTAGCGACAAACCTCACCATCCCGCCGGCGAAAAAATTCTGTACCGTTTATGGCGCCCGCTTAAACGGATGTATGCTCTAGTAAGTGTTGCAATGTTATCGATCATCAGCTCCACAACCACTGGTCGTGAAGCTCATTCTCAAAGATTAAAAGCTCTGTTGGGTATCCATTTAAAAGTACGACCGCGACTACAGGAAAATCAATAATTGCAAATTTTACAAGTGTGGTGATTGTCAATATTTTGGCGCTCTATTCCATTCTATCATCTACCTGGTCTCCCCATTTTGAACTCTTCGCGTACTCAATTGCGATCGACACGTCCCAGTTCAATTTGAGAAATATTACCGCCTCTAGTGTTAGTTTTAATCGAGCAATATTTAATCAATCTTTATTTCCATAGCTCTTATGACGGGGTCTGTAACGGGGTACGTAGCCCTAAGTGTACCCTGGTTACATGAAGTGTGACACTTCACACTTCAGGAGTATGACACGTCATACTCCGAGATATTTGGTACAAGGTACCAAGGTCGTTCAAAGCCAACCATTGGTCAAATGACATTGCATTTCTATAGGTAACTAACAGTTTGTATTAAACCCAAACTTAACCTATCTATATATACTCAGTTTACAATCTACCTTATTTAGGTCACTTCGCTCTCTTTAATTAAAGAGGGGACCTGTGAACTGCCGTTCACTGAGAGTTTGTATACTCTCGGAAGATAACTTCCACTAGCGCAGGGTGCTGTGTGACCCCGTCACACTTGGTAGCACTTGTAGTCAATCCACGCCACCGCGGGTAGACTACCTGAACCTCTCCGAAGTTCGTTGCCATGGATAGGAACGACTTCTCCCATATGAACGACTCTCAGTTCGAGTCGGTTCGGAAGATGGCAGGTATCTTCGGGATGGAGGCCCTGCAGAGCCTGGTGGTATCAACACCGGCTGAGCAGCTCGAGCGCGTCAATGCATTCGACGCGTACGAGCAGGGCCTCATCGCGCATGTGCGGGGAAACCTGCAGGCTCCGGCGGCGGAAGCAAATCCGCCTCACCCGAAGCCAATACGGCTGAAGGTAAAGCCGTATGAAGGGAAGGAAGGCGAGAACCTTCACTTCTGGGTCCGAGAAGTAGAGCTCGCGATGGACGCGGCTCTGATCTCGACCGAGCAACTGCGTGTTGCTTTTGCACTCTCCAACCTTAGCGGCCGTGCTAAGAGTTGGGTGGACACTCGGGAAGCAACATCCCCTGGATGTTTCACATCCTGGGCTCAGCTGTGCGAACAGCTCCGAGCCGCGTTCCTCCCGGCGAACTACGAGTACCGCCAGCGTTCGCGCTTCTTCGCGTGTAAACAAGGAAGGCGCGAGCTACACGAGTATGTGCAAGAGATACGGGAGCTCACGGCGTCCCTAGTGGGAAACCCACTCAATGAACACATCAAGATGACTGTGTTCATGGACGGCCTTCGAGTGGGCGCCGCACGCACTCAGCTGTTCCGGGTGCAGTCAAGCACCCTTGAAGAGGCGATTCAAGTGGCTCTTCAGGAAGAGTACAGCCATCGCCAGGCGCGTACGCCGGCCTCAGCGTGGCCTGGGCGTTCCTTGTCGGCTCCCGGTCGAACAAGCTCCAACGGACCAGTTCCCATGGAACTCGGGTCCGCCGAACAGCGTGACATCCGCTGCTTCGGCTGTGGGAAGTTGGGCCACTTCAAGCGCGACTGTCCCGCGGAAAGACTCCGCAGACGGTCCTTCCCGAAGCCCGTCCTCAAGGGTCGCTGGTAGAAGCCAGCATCCCGGGGACAGGGGAACGCCGGGAACCAGTAGGGGCGGGGCGCCCTACTGGGGAAGAACTAAGTCTTCGTGATGGGTGCGCGGGTGGCGCGTACCACGGGGACTTAGCCCCTGAGAGTCTTCGCACCCTCGAATCGGCGAAGAGCAGCGGCGGGTTGCTCGTAGTACACGGATGTGTACGGGGATACGATCATCCCTTTAGAATCTTGATTGACTCTGGGGCGTCGAAGAATTTCGCACGCCGCCAGACGGTTGTTCGTAACAGCAACAAGTTGTCCAATGCTTTGAGAGAAAGCAAGGGCAACGGGACGGTGTCAGTGCGACTGGCCGACGGGAAGGTCGTCACTGTCTCCAACGTCCAATGGATCTGGCCGTCAAGTTTGAAGACTTTGACAGCCTCGAACAGTTCACTGTTCTCGCTATGGATCCATATGATATGATCCTGGGCATGCCCTGGCTTGAGAAGCACGAGCCCTGGATCGACTGGCGAGGCAAGGCAATCGGTGCCAGCCGCCCTGCGCAGTCCGACAGAGCATTGGTGAGTCATGTTCCCGCCTCTGTCAGGACCCGGGACGCCCGCGAGGGCTGCCAGGGTACCAAAGCATCCGGCAGATGCTTGGGAGTCGTCGACGTATATGACGACTCCGAGGATGTTTTGATGGTGGCCGCGCCCAGAAGAGGCGCTGGCCAAGTGGGTAACTTAGGTCCACAGGCGGGTAACTTAGTTCCGCAGGCAGCTGCAGCTGTCATGAACACTGAGAACAGCGTGTTCAGAGTGGGTAACAGAGTTCCACTCACGGTCGCCCAGACCATAACTGAAGAGGAAGACGTCGGATACGCTTCCTGTGTGGGTAGCACAGTGCCACTCACGGTCGCCCAGACCATAACTGAAGAGGAAGACGTCGGATACGCTTCCTGTGTGGGTAACACAGTGCCACACGCGGTCGCCCAGACCTTAACTAAAGAGGAAGGCGTTGAACACGCTTCCTGTGTGGGTACAACAATACCACACGAGGCCACGAGTGCCTCGGATGTCGTAGCAACGACATCCCTAGACGCGGGCAGCAAAGCTCCCCGTCACAGACGCCGTCGACAGAGACGCCGCCGCCGCCTCAAGTCGGATCCGAACTTCGTTCCGATCGACGTCGCCTCAAGCGACTCGGAGTCCAGGGCCCGGGCTCCTCCGACAAGGCCGGTGGAAGAGTGTTATCACTTCTTCGATGGCGAGACAGGTTTACCCGTCAAGGCATCTGGTGTCCACTTGGAACCGTTGCCAGAGGTTGCAGAGATACTGAACCTCGAGAAAATGACGGCTGGGTCTTTCCTGGCCAACCTCAAGGCTGGAGAGATTGCTGAGATGGTACTCATGAGACCTGAGACCACTCAGGAGGAGCTGAACTCCTCCTCTGTCTTGGACGAGAACGTCCTGGAAGACATGAACAAGCAGCGTCAGGCGCGCTTGGGTTCTGAGATTCTCAAGAACCCCAAGGATCCGGTGTATCCTTTGGTGACGGAGTATGCGGACGTGGTGAACAAACACCCACCGACCCAACTCCCACCAGATCGAGGCGTACGGCACGAGATTGATCTCGTGCCCGGCACAAAGTATTGTGTCACGAGGCAATGGCCTCTCCCGCGCGAACAGTGCGAGGTCATTGATGCCTTCTTCGCCGCGAAAGCGAAGGCAGGCATGGTGCGGGAATCGAAATCCCCGCACTCGACGCCGACTTTCTGCGTTCGGAAGCCGAACGGAAAGTGGCGTCTGGTTCACGCTTATAGCAAGCTGAACAACGCAACGGTGCCGGCCCAAACACCGATCCCACGAAAGGATGTGTTGTTGAACAACATGGCCGGGAGCGTACTGTACAGTGCGCTGGATTTGGTAGACGGATACTATCAAATCCTGATGCGAGAGAGTGACATCCCGCTCATTGCGGTAAGCACTCCAAGCGGCAATCTTAGGGAGTGGCTCCCTAAGATTGTCATGCCGCAGGGCTTGTCTAACGCCCCGGCGACGTTCAATCGCCTGGTGACGCAATTGTTCCGCCCTTTGCGTACCTTCGTACAGACGTACTTCGACCCCATATTCGTCCATAGCCGTGCCGAGGGAGGCAAGACGGCCATGGAGGTGCATCTAGGACACCGCCGTCGAGTGAAGGACGTAATGCTAGCGAACAAGCTCTACGCCAACATCGACAAGTGCGTTTTCGCGTCACCAGAGATTAAAGTTCTCGGTTGCTTCGTAAGCAACGTGGGCGTTCGGGCTGACCCAGACAAGGTCAAGGCCATAGCAGCATGGCCGACGCCCCGATCCCTGAAGGATCTTCGAAAGTGGTTGGGCTTGGCCAACTGCCTTCACAAGTACAGCGCAGGGTACACGGGCTTCACTAAGCCCTTGTCGAGCCTCCTTCAGAAGGACGTCGACTGGCGCTGAAAGCAAGAGCACCAGGATGTTTTTGACAGCATCAAGGCCAGTCTCCAAGAGGCCCCTGTCCTGGCCCTGCCGGACGAGACGAAGCCGTTTAGCGTCGTCTGCGATGCCTCCGATTACGCCATCGGATGTGCATTGCTGTAGGCCGATACGGCTGGACACGAACGAGTCATCTCGTTGCAGTCCCGGCAGCTCAAAGCCGCCGAGCGGAACTACCCTGTCCATGACAAGGAGCTCCTGGCAATGAAATATGCCCTTGTGAAGTTCCGTGTTCACCTTCTGGGCTCTAGGCCCTTTGTGATCTACACAGACCACGCGTCCTTGAGGACGGCGACTAACTCGCCTCACCTCTC